CTTATTTATTTATAAACAGATTAAATACAATTCAAATAAAAATAATTAAATATTAAAAAATATTATTTAATAAAATTATATTTACTGTGGTGGTAATAATTAGTATTGTGCCTAGTAATGATTGTGATGATAGTTGTGATGATGGAGGTGGTTGGTGTTGTAATGGTTGTCGGATGGTGGCGGTTGGTGGTGGTGGTTGTGGTGGTAAAATTGGTTGATGTTAGTAGTTGGCGGTGTTGATGGTGGTGGCTAAAGAGTGTGTGGTGTTATAGTTGGTGGCGTTGCTAGTTGTGATGGTGGAGGTGGTTGGTAGTAGTGACTAATAAGTGTGGTAGAGGTAGTGGCGGCGACAACAACAGCGACAATGAATATAACTATAATGAAGAGGCGGTATGTGTGGTAACGACTGATAGTAGTGGTTGACAATGATAATGATAGTTGACAATGGTGGCAAAGGTGGTTGGCGACGGTAATGGTGGTGGTGGTTGTGATGACATGGGTGGTTAGTGGTGATGACAGGCGGTTTTGAATATAGTGGTAATAAAAATTATTAAAAACAAACATACCTCTTAATGATATTAAGGCCTCATTTGTTTGCTTAAATCATTAAGTGCATTTGTTTTCATTAAGATTTCAGCACTTATTTAGTCTAAATAAGTCTTAATTATTAAGACTTTATTTTCAAAGGACTTTTTCCCGTTAAATGAGGGGTAGAAGTTAATAGTTTGATGATGGCGGGGGCAAATACAACCTAATAGTATAACGAATGATAAAATTAGTTATTAAACTAAAGTAGAGGGGTAACTTTGACCATTTTCTCATAAAAAATCATTTATTTTTACACAAGCACTTCAATACACGTATTATGTATATTCACGTTATATTATTACAAAATTTGTATTACTATACATTTTTAATGGATTAACATTTAATATAAATATTATCATTACCAAGACGCATTCAATACAAAGTTGTATAGTATATCAGAACACATAGTATAAGTTATTCATTTAAATAATTAGCATTTACGAAATCCTATTGTAATTTATTACTAGCTCATTTTCACACTAATAAATTAATATTACATCGCAAACGCATTATTTATTTGTAATTGATAGTTTAGTAATTGTTATACCATCAAACTAAGAAAAATTCATCAAAGCAGTGAGAATAACAACTAATGCTTGCAATTAGGGTAGGTTGTTTATATCACATTCTTTGGGGTGCGACTCTTTTCCGGATATTGTTAACACATAATGCTTTGTGCACCGGATTGTTATTTTTTTTTTAATTGTATTTTCAAAAGTCCTAAACATAAGATTATTTTGCAATATAAATATAATTTTATTCAACGTGTAATTATTTGTTAAAAGGTAAA